ATATATATATATATATATATATATATATATATATATATATATATATATATATATATATATATATATATATATATATATATATATATATATATATATATATATATATATATATATCAATGGTGTGCATTCGTATATAGTGCATATGTATATATACGTACACACACATATATATATATATGGGTATTTATGTATAGTCTGGCGTGTGTGCACGAGTATGCATATATAACTAATACTTCGTGCTGGCTCCCTGCTTTATGACATTACACTCTCTCACGACACAAAAAGAACGCTACCAAAAATTGGACAACTAGAAAGATGTAAACATAGACTCGAACAGCGCACTATGCTGGCGCCAACCATAGCTGTACCTGATAGTGGTCAACTATTAAAGTATACATACTATGCGGATGGACACCCACAACCTACAAAAGAACCCCCAAAACCCTTACGCTTAGCAGTAGACCTACAAAGAATTCAAACACCTGTTTATGTACACATATGAACCTTAATCAATCTGGGGGGAGATACAAACACACGTGTATGTACACATGTACACATAACTTATATACACATTTACACATAAAGACAGTTATGTACACATGCACACATAAAGACATGCATATGTACACATTTACACATAAAGACATGTCATGTACACATGCACACATAAACACGTGTTATGTACACATACACACATGTTATGTACACATGCACACATAAACACATGATATGTACACATGCACACATAAAGACATGTTATGTACACATGTACACATAAACACATGTACACATGTTACGTACACGTAAACACATGATACGTACACATATATATGTACACATGTACACATAAACACGCGTTTAGGTACACATGTACACCATACCCAATCGGGGGACCAATCGCACAGTGACGGTGGCCTTTGTCTCGTCGTGATCTAGAACTTGTGCGATGTCGTCTTTATAGGCCGTACGCTTTAGACGCACATAGGCACCTACAGAAGCCAAGACAAGAAGGACAGGGCAATTAGGAATGGTCCTGATATTGTTCATGTTAAGACGATAAGTGTTTAAATTAGATGTATACATGGTAGTGTTCGTGTTAAGGGGTTGAAGTGTTTAAATTAGATATATACATGGTAGTGTTCGTGTAATAAGTTGGCTATAGACGCACATAGGCACCTACAGAAGCCAAGACAAGAAGGACAGGGCAATTAGGAATGATCCTGATAGACAAAGCTCAGGTATATAACAGAGGGTGTGTTCATGTTAAGACGATAAGTGTTTAAATTAGATGTATACATGATAGTGTTCGTGTTAAGGGGGTTAACTGTTTAAAATAGATGTATACATGGTAGTATTCGTGCATACATGGTAGTATACGCTTTAGACGCATATATGCACCTACAGAAGTCCCGAATGACCCAGGATTTTAGGACTGGACTTCATTTGCTAAAGGGGCTGGTGTGATAACTTGGGGTGGTGGAGGCCAGTCTATGGTTTTAAAGTGTAGGGTTTAGAGTTTAGAGTTTCAGACTAAGGTTTTTAGGGTTTGATCGTGTTCCACAGTTGGGTAGAAAATAGTTGTACACATGACATCCGCCCAGTCGCCGGTAGGCTTCAGACGCATAAACCTTTTCAACCTGTAATGATGAACAGCACCGTCCATAATAGGGTGGTGTAGTACGATAGATATACACATCAAATGAGGACTCACTCCAACGCCTCACCATGGCAACCGAGCTAGCTGGTGCCCACTGGGTACCCACTATACACCAAGTACAGTAACAAACACGCTTTGCACTGGCATGGTACCCCCTAAACCGTTAAAACGTTAACACATGACCAGTGTACCTGTTTTGATAGCGTCAACCTTCTTGACACAATCCATGACAGTGGTCATCTCCTCTGTGGGCACTAGACGCTGTCTGTACTGATTCAGTGCTTGCAGACCCTTGATGGCTTGTTGTACATGCGGCTGTAGTGTGTTAAGCATATGCGTGTAAAGATAAATTCATATATATATATATAGATCCATAAATAGTTGTATATCTTCTACATCAAATACTCAAATTACGCAAACCGATAGAGGACCAACCGGCTCTCACATGATGCAGAGGGCATCCAATCACACACCAACACCATGTAGATCTTTATACCTATAGACTAAGCTTAGTGTTTAAAAACGTTTTACCTCTTATGATATTGTACGCATTCTCGCTCAGTTACAAGTATGGTATGGCTTATATACTTTCACACTCACTCGACTACAAGTACCATACTCAACTGCTCTCGCATAGATCATTATACTTGTAGACTAAGCATACTGTTTAAAAACGTTTTACCTCTTTGATATTGTACACATTCTCGCTCAGTTATAAGTATGGTACGGCCTATATACTTTCATACTCACTCGACTACAAGTACCATACTCAACTGTTCTCATATAGATCTTTATATGTGTAGACTAAGCTTAGTGTTTAAAAACGGTTTATCTCTTTGATATTGTACGCATTCTCGCGCAGCTGTAAGTGCTGTAGGATGATATGGTCTATATACTTTCACACTCACTCTACTACAAGTAATATACTCAACTGTTCTCATATGCATAAGTCGCCGGCTGGTGTGCTTGTACGTAAGTGAGTTCAATCAGACTCCCGCCATGCAACACATGCGCGATTATCGATGGTACATTCAACGGATAGACAAGTTTATATACATATATGGAATACGTTTACATACGTCTAGCCAAACGTCACTAGCACTTCCTGGAATACGTTCATATACGGTTATGCACACTTCACCCAATTGTATGTGCGTTTGCACATTAAACCCACCCAAAGGCCTTGCGTTTATGTACATTTATTCACATGCTATACACCCCAGGCGTACTTAAACTCCTTACGGTTATGTACATTAACCCCATACTATACACACCATGCCTACTTGAACTCCTTTCGTTTATGTACATTAATTTCTTACTATACACCCCATGCCTACTTGAACTCCTTACGTTTATGTACGTTTATTCACACGCCATGTACCTGTTTGTGAGCCTCCACGTAGATGTGCCCTTTGAGATTCTCCACATGGATAACGCTTTTGATCATCAACGGCTTGTCACTATACTCGTACTCTATGAACCGACGCATGAGCGCAAAGCACAGGTCCTTCTCTCGGCCCGGCTGGTATTGTATGAGAATATGAAGACAACAGATGACGGGTTAGTATCTCTGCGAAAACAGGACAGGACAAAACTAGCCCAAGTATAAGTGCGACAGGACAGGACTGCATGAGCGCAAGGCACAAGTCCTTCTCTCGGCCCGGCTGGTATTGTATGAGATTATGAAGACAACAAATGAAACAGGACACGACAAAATCAACTCAAGTGTCAGTGCGACAGGACAGGACAAGTCCTAACCAAGTATCAGTGCGATGATATGAATGAGACAATTGATTTTTGAGGACATACGCCAGAGATGGTACGTGTAGAAGATATCCAGATGAAACTAAAACCAAAGGTAAGGCAAAGGCAGGCTTAGCAAAATGTAAGCATAAACCTAAAGACCACACGAGCATATATGGATAGTAAGACAAGGACACTACACATACAGCCAATACATACCATTCCGTAGCATAGGAATACTATACATCAACTGCGACACCCGTAAATGAAGCACATGCAATGCCTTTGACCATCTGATAAACACACACAAACATAAAGAACCATACTACATTCACAAACATATACACAACCAATACTAAACCATATATTAAACACACACAAACATAAACAACCACACTACATTCATAAACATATATACAACCAGTACTAAACCATATATACTGTGCACATACAATGCATTCAACCATCCATTAAACACACACAAACATAAACAACCATACTACATTCAAAAACATATACACAACCAATACTAAACTATATAGACTGTACACATATAAGGCATATAATCATCCATTAAACACACACAAACATAAACAACCACACTACATTCACAAACATATACACAACCAATACTAAGCCATCATGTGGACTGTGCACATACAATGCATTTGACCATCCACAGTTTCGGATCGGTGATTGAGGGTAGCCGTCCCTTCTCCATGATATCTGTGTGTGCACGATACCTACCACCACTATCATCTTCATCACCCGAATAGTCGTCATTATCGGCATTGTCGTATCTATTATAGAACAAGGTGTGGGTTGCAGTAAGCGTTATAGTATCTGTTTATAGACAAGGTGTAAGTTACAGTCGGTATTAGTATCTATTAATAGAATACATACACATATATACATATATACATAAATAAATATATACATACACATACATACACACACACACACACACACACATATATATATATATATACATATATACATTCATACACACACACACATATATATATATATATAGACAGATTGAAATCAGTATACACACCTGTCGGCCATACTCTCCAATCGTTCCTTCTCTTTGTTCTTTCGCCTCTCCGCATGCGCTCTCTCGCGCGCAGCCACCACCCGTTGCATATTGCGCGCCTCCTCTGTTGTGTGGTTATGTATTCAGGTATAAGGAGTATATACATATAGATAAATATGTCATACACCGTCAGTTCCATTTTATGCGCCTCTCCTGTTGTATGTTTATGTGTGTAGTTTATATGGAATGTGTGTAAATATACGCAATCAAATAGGTATACATTGTTTATGCGCTGTCGGGTACACTTTTTCTATTATGTAGATAAGTATGTACGTATATAATGTGCGTGGCTACAAACACATATGCGTGTGGATGTACATATACATGTAATATATACATCGCATGTGCCCATACATGTACATATTAAGGTTAAAGCTTGTTATATTGTGAGTAGATATACATACACGTGTGTGCATGAAAATGTACATGCACATGACATTGTATATGTACATGTACATTTACATGTACAATGCATAATAAATCTCTATATATTTAAGATAAGGTAGTTCGTATACACTCATCTTGTTGCATGTTTGAGCCACCTCTGTTCGTTGAATATGTGTGCAGATATTAAGAGATGCGTGTGCATATCCATTTGATAGTCTGCACATGCATGTACACGTGTACGTGTGTCTACAGCGTGTATATCTACAGATGCAGTTACATATAGGTATGTGTACGTGTGTCTACAGCGTGTATATCTACAGATGCAGATACATATAGGTATGTGTACGTGTGTCTAGAGTGTATATATCTACAGGTACAGATACCTCTAGGAATGTGTGTGTGTTTGTGTATGTGCATGAATAGTCACGTCAGATCGTGTTAGTACTATGCTATCACGTCGATCTATTTAAATGTACATTGTGTGCATGTGTGTAATTGTGCACGTGTGCTTACAGTGTGTATATCTACAGATACAGATACAACTAGGTAAGTCTTTGTGCATGAAACACGTACACATACTATACTATCACGTCGACATACGTATATGTACATGTTGTGTATTTGTGTACATGTGCACGCGTGTTCAGGTCGATGTGCATCTGTGTGTGTGTGTACTACAAGATACCAAAATTTCCTATAAAGACAATCAACAAACGGATTGGATTAAAAGTACGGCTGCGTAAACGTACTTTACGGAACACGAATCTCCCTTATACCAGAGAATAAGATAATAGAAACTTTAAAAAAAAATATGTGGCTGAGAAACGTATCGATAGAAACGCGTGCCTCCTGGAAACCAGACTAACACATAAAGGACTAACCGAAAAATGTACCGCTGGGAAAACGTAGTGATAGGTATACGTACAGCTGGAAAAACGTAATAGCGTACCTCCTTCACCGTCGTCATCGTACTCCTCTTCATCGTCGTCTTCCTCAACTTCCTCTTCGAACAGACTGCTCATGGGAGCCTACGGAGTGATAAAAATAGAACACCAGAAACAAATTTACGTATACGTATACATGCGAGTGAAAACGTATCGATTTTGTGGACTGTAGTAGTAAACCCCAAAAATAGAAAATAGTAATCAATATATTGATAGATATCAAAGTAAACGTAACAATTACGCGAATTGCAATAACAAAACGGAAAAACCGCTGATAAAAACGTACAGAGTGAAGACAGGATTACAATCCTCTATCAGTACATACACCTGCGGATAGTATGTGACACACAACATGCAAAAACTGTTTTGTATACAGACACCCAGTACGGGAGGAACATTTTCTATTTTGATTGGTTGATTACGAGACTATCGTTTTAGGGCTTTAGGGTTATAGGGTTTTAGGAGGACTGGTATCCATCGTGCCTGGGATTGACATACGCAAGAACAGCTCCGCTGAGATAAGTAAGCAATAACAAGTGCTGCTGAAAGGTCTGTCGAGTGCCTTATCGAAATCTTCAAACCACACACGAATATATATTTATATATACATAAATATATATATATATATATATATATATAGTATATATATATATATATATATATATATATATATATATAATATATATATATATATATATATATATATATATATATATTATTA